GAGAGAGAGAGAGAGAGAGAGAGAGAGAGAGAGAGAGAGAGAGAGAGAGAGAGAGAGAGAGAGAGTTTGCCACGCTGTCAATGATCCTGACACGCGCTGCTGGGTTTCATCTCTGACTTTTGCCTCCCAGGAGATGCTCCAATATGTGCGTTCAGCATTACGGTTCCCATAAGATAGCGCTCACAGACACACACACACACACACACACACACACACACACACACACGGAGACTCCAGCATTACGGTTCCCATAAGACAACGCTCACATACACATAAACACACACACACACACACACACACACACACACACACACACACACACACACCTTTGACACAAACTTGTCCACGCTCCTCGAAAGACTGCGAAGACGCCAATTTGACACGTTTGTCTAGCTCTCTACTCTTGTGACATGCTTGCACTACCAATCCTTTTCCCGAACGTATCTCCACTAACGTAATGTATTTGATTAAAACTGCGGTGAAATCCATCCGAGTGGAGCCCTGGCCAGGACAAGCAGATAACTCTTCTGCTTCTCCTTTTCCCTTTCCCCCTCATTGAAAACAGAAAAAAAAAAAAAAAAAAAAAAGAGTTGAATGATATCCAGCCAATAAGCAAGACGGGTTGGAGCCGCCGGTTGCTGAAAACCTTTCAGCCACAATTTGAGATAAGCTCACAATATGCACAACTTGCCTTCGTGAGTTTTGTCTGGGTAAGTTGTAGATGTGCAACCAAAAAAGTTGAAAACAAAAAGAAAAAGAGAAAAAAAACTTCAAAAAAGGTATCACCATACATACCTCGTTGACAGAAAAGGTTTCAAAAAAACTTTCAAAAAAGGTTTCGGAAAAGATTCCGATGTCTGATTATTTTATTATTATTACTTTTTAAAAGCAATATAAATGCGGTGGTGTGAGTACTCCATTTTCTCAGAGAAGTTCAGAGTTGTTTACAAAAGGTTGAAAGTTCTCAAGCTGTGACTTTGTGGGTCATTCATTGCACACGGCGCTAAACAAAAAAAACGAACGGCAACAGGAGAAGGGGGGAAATGACGATGGGGAGGAGGAGGAAGAAGATGGCGATGGGGAAGGAGGAAGAGGAGGAGGAAGAGGAGGAGGAGGAGGAGGCGAGGAGGAGGAAAAAGATCGCGATGGGGAAGGAGGTGTAGGAGGAGGAAGAAGATGGCGATGGGGAAGGAGGTGTAGGAGGAGGAGAAGGAGGAAGAAGATGGCGATGTGGAAGGAGGTGTAGGAGGACGAGGAGGAGGAAGAGGAGGAGGAAGAAGATCGCGAAGGGGAAGGAGTAGGACGAGGAGGACGAGGAGGAGGAAGAAGATCGTGATCGGGAAGGAGGAGGACGAGGAGGAAGAGGAGGAGGAAGAAGATCGTGATGGGGAAGGAGGCGGAGGAGGAGGAAAAATATGGCGATGGGGAAGGAGAAAGAGGAGGAGGAGGAGGAGGAGAGGAGGAGGAAAAAGATCGCGATGGGGAAGGAGGTGTAGGAGGAGGAAGAAGATGGCGATGGGGAAGGAGGANGGGAAGGAGGTGTAGGAGGAGGAAGAAGATGGCGATGGGGAAGGAGGAAGAGGAGGAGGAAGAAGATGACGATGGGGAAGGAGGAAGAGGAGGAGGAGGAGGAGGAGAGGGGGAGGAAAAAGATCGCGATAGGGAAGGAGGTGTAGGAGGAGGAAGAAGATGGCGATGGGAAAGGAGGAAGATGAGGAGGAGGAGGAGGAGAGGAGGAGGAAAAAGATCGCGATGGGGAAGGAGGTGTAGGAGGAGGAAGAAGATGGCGATGGGGAAGGAGGAGGAGAGGAGGAGGAAGAAGATCGCGATGGGGAAGGAGGTGTAGGAGGAGGAAGAAGATGGCGATGGGAAAGGAGGAAGAGGAGGAGGAGGAGGAGGAGAGGGGGAGGAAAAAGATCGCGAAGGGGAAGGAGGCATAGGAGGAGGAAGAAGATGGCGATAGGGAAGGAGGAAGAGGAGGAAGAGGAGGAGGAGAGGAGGAGGAAAAAGATCGCGATGGGGAAGGAGGTGTAGGAGGAGGAGGAGGAGGAGAGGAGGAGGAAAAAGATCGTGATGGGGAAGGAGGTGTAGGAGGAGGAAGAAGATGCGGATGGGGAAGGAGGAAGAGGAGGAGGAGGAGGAGGAAAAAAAATCATGATGAGGGAGAGAGTGGCTTTGGCCCGTCCACAGGCAGATTCGTCTGGCTGGGGAGAGTGACAATCTATTATTATTATTATTATTATTATTATTATTATTATTGTTATTATTATTATTATTATTATTATTATTATTATGATTACTATTATTATTATAGTTATTATTATTATTTTTACTATTCCTCAAACTATTAATGATACCTGCGATGAATCTACCTTGACTGAAGAGGAGTAGGAGGAGGAAGAGGAGGAGGAGAAGGAGGAGGAGGAGTGGGGGGAGGCCGTACCTATGTTGGCCAGAGAGATGATGGCGCCTTCGGTACGACGTTGCTGCAATGGTGGCACCCGTTTTCGGTAAAGCAGGTAGCAGCGACCGTACACACACATAGAGCAGATCAGCACCCGGTACCGCTGGCGTTTTTTCCCAGACCGGTACCAGCAAGAAAAAAAATAAAAATAGCGCAGGCCAGAAACACCGGAAATTCGACTTCGGCCTGCACCTACCCGACCTTTCTCTTCAACGAACAGGCCCGGAATGCGAAACCCGGGAATTGTGATTCGGGCATGTACCTGCCCGTCTTTGCCCTTCTACGAACAGGCCCGGTTCCTTCGGAAATCCCGTTCAGCAGTGTTGAATGGCACTGTGGTCCCAGCGAGTGTCGATGGAACGCGTCGAGGTCTGGAAAAACGTTCGGAAGTGGAGAGGGGCCGGGCGTGTTCCTCATTTCGTGTCGAGATTTCGTTCCTGTGCACAATAGCCAGTACTCTTCCACGCGACCAGCGCTAGACTTCAGCTCGCCATTTCGCACTGCAGTGTACTCTCTCTCTCTCTCTCTCTCTCTCTCTCTCTCTCTCTCTCTCTCTCTCTC